AAAGACTCCAAAATAAAAATAATGATGCGTTTCAATGACATATTACATACAGTGGAGAGTCATCTGAAGTTTTCACATTGTTTTCACACTTTAAGTATCGCTGAAAATAAAAAGATTTTTCGCTGCCAGCTTGAATTTTTATTCCTGACTTAGTCACCAGGTATCAGATATTTGCGTTAAAAACAAGGAAAAAAACATAGTGGTCGGCGTCATAATTAAAACAGCCAGCAATGTGATAACGCGTGTTTGGCAGTTTTAATTATGTGTTATCTCAATGTTTTCAGTCAATGTGTTAAACATATGTTACGGTCAATCAACTGCCGTGAGTTCAATCCCTGGATCATGTAGAAAAACACTGGCTCAGCAAGGATAAAATGAGACAATAATCTACAGATATCCCATATCAGCGAAAACAATGAATACTAGATGGGAGACCGAAAATTTAGCATTATATATATTTATATATATATATATATATATATATATATATATATATATATATATAATTATTATTATTATAATAGTAAAGCTATAATTTTGTATGTATGTATGTATTTCTGAAATGCAGCTTAAGCGATACATAACAATTCAACAAATTTATTCTACCTGTGCCAAATTTCATTTAGACAAGGTGTTCATGAGCAAGGGCTGTTTTTTCTGTTCTTAAGGAATTTCTAATAGGCAATTCAGTATTTGTTTTCAATACATTTTCTAATATCAAACCGATTATATAAACAGACACTTGCATATTGTATTCCAACAATTATGTGTGTGAAAAATAATAAAAATCCATAATACAATATAACAACATTATTAAATAAATTTTAATATACCTAGCAACATTTATTTATAAAATTCACTGCAACATATTAGAACATTTTTATAAACAAATATCTCGGGTGTTTTGCAAGTACATGATTGGTGAAGACGCTATTTGAGTGTACCATTATAAACGTATTCTGTACGGCTGAAAGATTTTCTCACGTGACTCGATAAATAAATAAAAAAACACATGCACGGTTGCTTGATCCCGTAACGTATTTTCAAACAAATGTAAGAAGTATATGTAGTAAAAACATAATTATTATTTTGAAAAAATACCTAAAAAAAATGAAACTAAGTGCACAAAAAGGAGGCATCGATATTTTATGTTTTTGCAATAAATATGGAAACGATTGCTGTTTTTTTTTTTTTTTTTGTGTGTGTGTGTGTGGAGGGTGAACATCGCCCTTGAAAATGATTATATGATAAATACTAAAATTGGGATAAATTGTCATCTCGAGAAAACTATCACTTGAATGAAAAAGTGTGATATCAGTTTACAACTCCATTGTGAAAAAAAACTGTTTCCTTTGTTTAAGGTCAATGTCTTCCTCTGCTGCCAAATTAAGTGTTATTCGTGGAATCAATATATGAATTGCTAAATCTATTATAATTATTTTAGTGATATCATATTAATGATTTTAATATGTTGAAAGATTTGTCTTTTTATCTATTGTTCTGTGTATAAGTGATTGTATTTATTTCAGAAATTCTGAAACATTTTTCCATTTGTTAATTTGTTATGATATTATTTGTTATAATTAATGTTGTATACAGGGTGCGGCAAAATGATCTGACACATTTGTCAGTTTAACGGAAACGAAATAGCGTAAAGAAGGTAAAATGTGTTTTAGTGTCTAAATGCACATATAATGCTATTTGTTTTTCATTTCGTTTTAAGAATTAAATTAGTCAAATGGTTCCTGTTTCTATCGACACAGTGGCGAAAGCGTTTTTGAAAATTGTCCATAACTCGACGTGACATTTTGTGTAGAATGACATCAGTTTCTTGACGCATCTTTCATTTGTTCAATAGATCGTAGGTGATCAGTGTATACATTTGATTTCAATATCCCCACAGAAAAAAAAAATCGCATTGGTTCAAATCAGGTGATCGGGTGGACCAAGGTTCTTTGTGTTGCAGTTACAGATTCGTTGTTCTTGATAAACATTTCCACAATGAAAGCGTGATGCTCACCTAATCCATGTTGGCAAAGGAAAATACAATAAAACGAAATGGCATTATACGTACATTTCCAAAATAAAAACACATTTTTCATTCTTTACACTATTTCGCTTTTATTGAATCTATAAATGTGTCAGGTCATTTAACCGCACCCTGTATAATGTGAGTATTAATAATCATTACAATAACTTGTATAACAAATTCAAATTAAAATATGTGAAATTAATAATACAATTGATAATATCGGTACCTCACCATTTTTCAAAATGAACAACTTTTTGTTTTGTCCACTAAGTTTTAAAGATGTAAGCAATGGTTTGCACTTATTAAATGTAATTTGATAATTTTTCATCTACAAATGAAAGGCAGCTTTGTAATCCTTTTCTGATTAATTGGAATTAGTAAGAAATTCCCTATTTTCAGACTAAATATTTGGTCTCTTAATATTTGGAATAATAAAATGTATTTCTTCTTCACTGTATGTTTAAAAGTGAATGCGAGTTCACTTATGGAAGGAGCCATGTTTGTGTTTGCCTTATTTTCTCCACGATCTGAACTAAACAAATTTTACAGGTATGCGATTTGCTACTGTAACACGCGTATAAAATCGATAATCTAATGGAAATAAAATAAACAGCAAAGATTGGAGCAGTCCATTTCTCTCTAATTCTTACGGCATAGTTTCTCTGAACTTATATGGTTTTATTATGAATAATAAATTACATTTTATATTTTAACCAATGAATTTTAGATTCAACTTATTGAATGAAATACAGAGTTAACGATCCGTGTGTATCACTGTTTCTTTTAATCTAATTAACAAACTTAGTTAAACCTGTTATTTTTTGTCCTTAAATAACTAATTAACAATTAGCAAGCAGGCATATTTTAGCAGAAAGTTATCTACAAAGCTACCATCTGACATGCTAAGGTATTAAAACAAATGAGAATTGTTGCTGAATATGGGTAACAATAACACAACAAATGGTCATGAAAATCTTTCTTGGTCTGTATTTAATTAATCTCAATCTCGCACGTCTTTGTTTCTGCTACGTCATTGCAAGAATCTTTCTATTTTTTCACGTCGAAATTCGTCTCGTTAATTCAACATTATCACTTCATTACGGAACTGCTTTTCCAGTCGAAACCACGTGACAAATACGTGTTTTAATTAAGCGAAAAATGGACTTTTTACATGTGTACAAATCCCACATTATGATGGATTTGGTGCTAATTTTCATAGAAAAGCCTTACTGTTTGATGTCTTCTCGAACATCTCAAGGTCATCAGTTACAAAACTTTGATTCCCAAATCATCTTACCGATGTCAAGGATAAGTGGAAATGACAGAGAAATCAGAACTAATTGCAAGGGAAAAAATCAAATCAATCCAATTTGTACTAATGAAGCATTGCATCATTTCAGCTGGGTGATACGAAGATCGAAAACTGATTGAGTCACTCATTCGCATTCTACGGAGTATCAATCCTTTGCAGGTTATTTAAAGCCAGAAAATATTTGTTAGATTGTAAGTTAGATAATAATGTTTTACTAATAATGGCTTTTAATAATTAACCCACACCGGGGGGGGGGGTGAAGAGGTGGATTCAAAACTTTTCCAAAGGTATCTGCGTGGAAGTGAATATAACGTACTCAGCGGGAAATGGAACTTGGCTCTCCGATTAATAATTTCAAGCCATTATCCGTTCCACTATCAGCATATCCAAGATTACTGTACCTGGTATTCCCATCTAAGTTATGACCAAAGTCGACGTGGCTTAACTTCAGTGACAGTACGAGAACCGAAGTGAACGTGTTTTCAAAGAGATGTGGCCGTTAAATGGATTTACTTTTGAAATTCAAAACATCCTTCTCATATTGAAATATCTGATCATTTTCAAACTAATTTTCGTTGAAACTAAAGCTAATTTGTAAGAGAGGTCATTAAGATCTATTTTATGCATGCATTCAGCAATAATATTTGAATATATACGGTGATACAATCGAACATCAAATTTTCGGAAATATTTTAAATTACTCTAAATCTCTCAGTAATTTATCTAAAGGAAGATTTCTACTGAAATTTGAAATACTATTCTGGATTCTCTCCTGCTATGTCCATATGAAGAAATCAATGGATGAAAAACTTCTGCAATTAGATCCAGAAAAATGAGAAAAATATATTTCAAGTAAATGCTCTCTTGTATAACGTCATCGTCTTCACAATGACATTTTTCTATATTTTACAATATATTTATCATTTTTTTTTAATTTGCGCACGTTATGTATTTATATATTTCCTTTAAAAATATCTTCTTTGATTTTCAGTTATCTATCAAATGATGCTGAATTTAGAAAGTTCGGTAAAATTCATAGACATATTGTCATGTAAATAAAGTCTATGGCCTATTATCTTTTATTTTTAATATTTTAGCTTCTGCCAATTGACTGTCGATATATAAGCTAAGAACTTAATACCACAGGAAAAATTCATTTTATCAACAAGGTTGTTTAAAAGGGAAAATATACTGAATTTCTCTTTGGACATTCCAGGATAGATTGCTTCTTATTTGCTTTTTATTTAATTCTTTGGATTGATTTTTGAAAAATATTTTTCAGTCCTAAGTTATTTAATTCTTCATTTGCAACATATTGATGTGGGGCCAAAGTCGGGACCTCGGAAGGAAAACACGGAACACGGATTAGATGTAAGAAAGATATATTAACAAAAGGTTACAGAGATAGTGTAAGCGGAGCTTACTATATGTTAGTGTCCAATACTGGTAGACGTACGCGGCTCTCACTGTGTCTCTGTCTCTCTGTATATCAGTCTGTGTCACTCTCTCTAGAGTGCTATGTCGCCTACTTAATATAGGCCTGAAAGAGTCTATTGTGTAGGTAGTTTCCGGTCTCACAATACATATCTTCTGAGCAAGACTCTTTCGTATTTTTCGTTTATATGCAATTTCCATTAAGAACGTTCACAACTATAGTCCTCCACAATACCATATCTATAGTAGTTGTAGACAGTATCTGTCCCCATACAATCTATCCCCGTCTTTGTTCCCTCATTCCTCTCAACAAGATGTTTTCAAATCTCTCTCTCTCTCTCTCTCTCTCTCTCTCTCTCTCTCTCTCTCTGGTCTTCAATAGATCTTGGCAAAAACTCATCATGCCAGATTTCCTCACTATGCTCTAGAGGTTTCTACAGTCCCTATCTGAAAAGTATTCTCTTTTCATTGATATTCTCCTTAAAAACCTTATTTATATCTTTAAAACCTTATTTATATCGTTATTCATATGTTCCATCAATGGCATTTGATATCAATACATATAGAACCAGGTCTCTGTTCCCTCACGAACGCCTCTTCAGCTTTCAGGCCATTGTTAGGCATTCTCTGCTGTGTAGATAATTAGATATTACATAAAAGTTGTGTCTTCTTTTTAAGTAACGAACTGTTTTAATACGTTCATTTGAAAGGCATCATTCGCTGCTACAAGATTCATTAATTGTCTTAACGAAAGTCATATGATTATGCTGAATGCCTAGAGGCATGGAGTCGAATAATGGGTCTTTTTTGCGTAGCAATGCTACAGCACATGCCTCTATCATCAAAGTAAGGAAAATGAGCCAATTAGGAAAGTCTGTTCTACAAGGAACTGTTTTATCTCCAATTGAGTTTCATCTTTACAGGCGTTTTGATTTTTCAGTCAGAGATAAGAAATGCCTCAGTCGGAGGGAAATTATTTGAATTTTCAAACATGTCACTGCTTCGATAAAAGTTTTAATACAGTTACTAAAACCGCTTTCGGAAAACGCCCCGCAAAAGATGGAAAAGATATGATTGAAACATAAGTGTTTTACGCAAATTAGGGACCTTATACATCATTGGCACTTTCATTGACATAATAAAGGATTCGACTAAAAATATCAGTTAATTACCTTTAGTAACACATTGGGATAAAACGTTGGTTATCCAAAAAGTGGCGTGACCCAATAATTGTGAATTCAAGAATTGGCGACTGCAGCGGAAACAAAAACTTGGGAAGTATATCATCTAAAGAAGGCTAGGAAGTATAATCACTGATACGTCGTGAATATGACAATAAAGATGAGGACAACAGTCTGAATGATGCCAATAGTGCAAAAAAAAAAAAGAACTCTTACAATGTGTTTTTTTTTTTTGTATTTTTTTACGAGTATATCATTTAATTTAAGTACTGCTTGATGATGCATCATGGTACAGCTCTCGAAACGTGTACAATTGGTTTTAAGATCAGTCTGGAAATTTCGGGCGAATGGTGTGGCCACAACGTTATTACGATATGAGCCCAATCGTGCATTTGTGTGACATGGGATCGTCCTTAGGAGTTTTAGATAACGTCATCAACATCTCTCCAGATTTCTACCGAATACTTGCCGAATCGATCTCTCGTGGAATTGCTGTAATTCGCCTTTATATGGACTGCAGGGTACAGGTCATCGCGTATCAAACCTAATCAGATAACATTACGTCTTATGCAACATTTTATGTACCCGACATTGCATCATTGTCTATAAAATACGTGGAAGAAATATAAATGGATTCACGTGTATATAACAGATTTACCACATTTGTTAAAATATTGCACATTTAATTTCCGTCTATTATTCTATTACAATTGTTTCATATTATTTATAACAAAATACAGCATATATGAATTTTATTTTTGAAGAAATCAGTAAATCCTTTTTGATGTTAATGGATGCTCTATATAAAAAGGCGATGAAACATACTATACAGACATTATCCAAAAAGAATTCTAGAACCTTCAGGAAACAATTCAGGAATTTCATCGTAGAGTAAAGGTCTTTTTTATATTCTTATCTATAAAAGATTTTAAAATAGTTGACGCCTTAATCCATTGCGGGCATTGTGTTCGTTCTGTTGATGAGACAAAAAGCTTTATTCGCGTTTATAATGATAGGAAAGATTAACACCTGATGATCATCAGCAACAGTTTGGTTAGATTTCTTCTGCTTTTCGGCATATCAAACTCAGTGTCTTTTTTAATGTCGGCAAAAGATTTATTACTTGTAATATTTTATTTCCAAAAATGTATTGCTGGTAATATTTTTTCCTTCAAAAATCTATTTCTGGCATTATTTTTTTCAAGAAACTTATTGCTGGTAATAATTTTTTACAAATTATTTCTGGTAGTAAAACTTATTTTTAAACTTTCAGAGTGTTTTGACCCCATTTTGGCGGTTAACTTTTTCTCCATAATTGGAACCATAAATGTGCTACCACAACGGGTCAGGTTGAACCTGGAAACACCAGCAATTAAGAGCTGTTTTCACGCTCCTCAAAGCCTCCTGGTCAGAGGCCTTGCTGTTGGACGTAGCTTATCGTCTTACCCAGGACGCGGAGGTACTTTATCGTCGTACCCAGGTTGCGGACGTAGTTTATCTTCTTACCCAGGACGCGAACGTAGATAATCGTCATACCCAGGACGCGGATGTAGTTTGTCGTCATACCTAGAACGGACCAGCAACGTAACTTGAAAACGGAACAAAACAAATAGTGCTGTGCTGATGTCTGTCTTTGATAAAAGGATCAACTTAATTAATTTCAGGATTATTTCCTTGTCCGTATCGATTAATTAATGCGGAAACAATTTTAACTTGAAACAAGTCTTTAACTATAAAGTCAATTCAGTAAAAAAAAAAAATGAATAAATAAACGGAGCAATACAAGGGGCTATACTGAAGTGTCTAATATAGTGTTACACGATAAATTTTGTTAACAATATTCAACTCAGATTGATTCTTCCAGATACGGAAAAAATAATTTATTAGAACGACAATAATTTAAATGTTGTAAGAATGATATCACGCCTAGAGTTAAGTTGCCGAGTTAATATCTATTTAATGAGAGACAAGATCATTTGTTGAGGTGTAAAGTCAACAGAAAATAAACTTGAATTGACTGTATTTACTTCAGTCTCTATACATTTCTTCTTTCGATGACATAGAAGTATATCTGAGTGCAATAGTATTGGATCACAAAGGGATTGGCCTTTATTAGACTGGCCTTTTTCACTTTAGCACCTGTAAACAATGGACAAAACATAATATTTGAAAATTTTTATGGAAGTTTCTGATCTCTCATTGAAGAGAAAACAAAGGCGCTAAAAATCTCATTTCATGGATTTTATATTCTAATTAAATGTGCGATAGTTTTCAATGATAAAAGAATCAACAGACACTGGCATTCGTCTTTATTTAAGAGGATTGATTGACTTAAAACTCATTTCCAATAGAATACGCTTCAAAATCTGTTAGAAATTCGAACGTTTTTCCCGGGTAAATTATTAAGATGTTGGAAATACGGTATTAAAAAAAAAAAAAAAGATACATAGACAATGTATTCACTATTCTGTACAAATACACACACATATATATATATATATATATATATATATATATATATATATATATATATATATATATATATATATATATATATATAGTATTATTATTATTGTATACGTTATTTATATACACACAAATATGTAAGCAAATACTCTGTTTATAATAGACATTATTAATAATATTTATCGGCCTGAATGTACGAAAAATCTGATAGAAAATATGCGTCCTCCGACAGGAATCGAAACTACATCCTTCGTATCTAAACTGATATACCACATATATATGTGACGAAGCAGTGTAGGATACACGTCAGATTCTTTTCGGAGGACGCATATTTTCTATGTGATTCTCGGACATTGAGCATTTTTGTGTCGATATAAATAACGTATAACAATAAAATATATTAAAATAATTCTCGGACTTAGTTCATTAAATATTTATACATACATATATATATATATATATATATATATATATATATATATATATATATATATATATATATATATATATATATATATATATATATATATATATATATATATATATATATATATATATATATATATATATATATATATATGTATGTATATATATATACACACACACACACACACACATATATATTATCAAATGGACTAAGTCCGACATTATATATATATATATATATATGTGGGGGAGATATATAAGGAAGTAATGAATAAATTATGTGTACATTTTTCTTATTACTATAAATAATACATGTAGTTCATACCTGTATTTGAGTGAACACCCTTGTTAGGCCATTCGATATCAATTTCGCAATTAAAAACATGGATGCTTACTCAAGTATATGGACATATCTTAATATTAAAGAAATTTATATATATATATATATATATATATATATATATATATATATATATATATATATATAACCTAAATTACGGCGTACAAGTTCGTTTTTCAACCAAAATTTAATTGTAAAATCTCTGGGTCGACTCATATGGCTTCTATAAAAGAAAAACGTTTAAGACTGTCCCTACCGCCAGCATGCTAATACAAATATAACAAACTAAAATTTGTCGCTGTTTGCGGATGAGTAATATTGTTTTTTAAATAACATACGACACATAGCAATACTATGAAAAACATCGGGCGTTTATGATGTGTATTCTTTAGTATTAATTTATTATAGGAGTTGATGTTTGCATTAATGTGTTTATATCAATAGACCTGACGAACTTTAAATGTTCGCTAAGTTATACCGATACAATATATTGTACATAAAGGTGTGTGTTTTAGATTCTTTCCTCTTCAACTTATATAGAAAGATAATACGTTAGTGTATCAGTAAGTAGTCTGCAATCATGTAGCTTTGGTACAAGTTACTGCATACTGTAGCCTAACTTCATTTACCGATAGGCCTAAATTTGGGGCCACCAGTCGCCTACCATGTGTTTGGAGGTCTAATTATACGGTAAGGAAATGCCTAACTCAACATTTTGTACTAAAAATTTTAACTTGTACGCCAGGTCGATTTGTACGTCAGGTCGATTTGTACGTCAGGTCGATTTGTACGCCGCAATTTATTTATATATATATATATATATATATATATATATATATATATATATATATTATGAATTAATTGCATTGCTCTACTAGATCTGTTTCTATACAGCATTCCGATTCAGGTATCCTGTTATAGATTTTCCTAACGCATGCATGTTCATTCCCAGAATGCG